CACCGCGAGGTACCCCGGATCCCATACTTCTGAGTTCGTATCCAAGGAGGGAGGATCCCGCCTGGAGGGACCTGGATCCAGGGTATAGGGATGAGGGATACAGTGGATCTCGAACTTTCGTGGGACAACGGAGATCACAGACGGTTGCGAGATGATGTTGGATGATTGGAGAGCTCGGATCCACGGCGAGTGTACCATTACAGTGAGGTGGATCCAAGCGACCTGGATCCGGATGAGTGTACCCATAATAGGGTGACCATGATGATTACGTCATATATCCGGTGGATCTGAAGATAACACAGCTGGGATGATGGGTCAAGGGAAGAAGGGACATGCAGCCGAGCCTGGTAAGGGATTTAGCAGATGAAAGACATAGAAGGTAGAAACCCAGGCAGGTATAGGCTTAAATATCAATACAGACTCCAATTTGCACAGTGACACGCAAGTGCCTTCCTGCCCTCAAGAACCGGAACTACATTGGCCGTACGAGCTCCGAGAAGGTTGGGAATTGCGAATCTAGTGTTGGTAGTGATAACTGGATAATACATTGGCCAGATCCTACAACCTAGTGAGCTTTTCCTTTACTTGTGCAGATCCGACAGGTTAACCGAATTTACTACTTGGTCGGTTACACCCTAGGGGCTCTCAACTCTCAAGATCCCGTCACAGGAGGCGGCAAGTACGACTTAAAGGACAACACAAAGGCAAGGGAACACACCCGCAAGGCAACCCTACGGCTAGATCCACGATCTAGGCCCCGGATCCATAAGCTCGAATATTCGCTTAGGATACGGAACCATCCACGGACGCAGAGTGAAGATTTTCCACTGCTGCTCCACCCCATCCCCACGTCTCGCCAAGATACTCAAGCTTCACCACTTGAACTCTTCGGAAGTTACCGAGAGAGCAGATCCCGCCCTACCGACGGGTACACAAGGTGAGGAAAGTTCAGCAGAACACGGATCATCGGGGGACCCCCTCCGTTAGTCGGTGTCTGGGCGCAGTTGGTAAGTTGGATCTGGCAATCTCGCAGATTTTGCTGATCCCGCTACACCACATTGCCGCCCCCAGCCAGGCTTCAAGTGGCTAGAACTACAGCAATATATAATCAAAGCTAATATGAATAAACGGAGAAAAATCATAACACTTACGGGATCTGTAACCATTTTGCTGGCTTCCATATCCACCCTTCCTTGCGCAGTAGCGGCCACACAACTTTGAAATCCACGACGCACTCCATCTTGCTGGATGGGGCTCGGAATGAAAAATGAGCGGTGACCACGAAAGGGGAACCGAAATTTGATTTTTTTTGAAAATGTGTAGTCCGGCTCTTACCCGCGGTACTTCGGTACTTCAATCTGGCTGTAAATGTTATCCAATAGAATTAGTTGGTTTCATAACGTGGACCAATCAAAACCTTTTAAATACGGGAAGTGTCGAAGATGGTGGTTTGCGGATTTCGAGCCATAGTGAAATCAAGTGTTTCTTATGCTGTTCAGAACATGCTGTTCGGAACAGCATACAGTATTGCAAGGCTCCGCGTCCAAGGGGTTAGCCGTAGCGCACCCTATTGTTTTGCGTGTCGTCTTGATTTTGAGTATTTTTGCATCGCTTCACTTCCGATGACACACTCCTCAAGAAAGAGATGGAGCTTCTCTCCTGTCACAGTGAATCAAGTCAAATCACTGAATGCGTTTCGTTTAGCGACACACCAGTCTCTAAACTCCTTTTGGCGTTTTGTGTATGCACGCTGCGTTTTTGTAGAGCGCATTTGAATGGACTTGTCGTACGTGCGCTGGGCAGACTCCCTCAGCTCGACTGACATCCGTGCCTCCTCCGCCATCGTCGTCTGCAATTCTCTTGGAGTGTTTCCTATACATGTACCCTGCTGTACTAAAATTTTGCCTGGTCATCAGTTTGTTGAACCTAGCCCACCGGTTGATAAACCGATTATTTGACCCGTTCTGCTTTAATAAATAGGATTGGATGTCAGGACCCGGACTTATGATAATGTGACGTTAGAAACAATACCCACGGCCTGCAAAAATGAAAAAAAAGTTCCCGAGTTAACGCCTAAAAGCCGTCGTTCGTTCATCATCAATTATGGCAGCCAGAACTCTCGTGCTGCTGCCGCTGGTCAGTCTGACGGCCTGGAGTGTCAACGCGACGCTCATGCGCATGCGCCATCAAGTGCGTGCGCCTCCCGGCGCCGAGGCGCTTGAGTTCATCCCCGGTTCCATGGACGAAACTATAATGGAAACGCTCGAGACGGGTGATCTCATCTTTTTCCAGCGCAAACTGACGGCGCTGCAGCCTCTGGCGGCACTACACACGTGGGCTACTCGTCTGCGACTGCGTCCGCGCTTCGATCATTGTGGCTGGATCTACGTGGACCGTTTGGGGCGCACCTTCATCGTGGAGGAGACGCTGAACAAGGTGCAGTGCCGTCCGTACAGCACTCGACTCTTGACGTCTGAAGCCACGGAGATATTCGTGTTGACACTGAAGCATGAGGTGGGCATGTTGATGTGTAGTAGAAGGCTCTTATCGCTGACAGATATTTACGCTGCAGCGCTCCAAGGAAATCCAGGAAGCTGCTAGTGCTTTCATCACCGAAAATGTAGGGCGTAGGAGTCGGATCTCACTGCGTCACACGGTCTCGGCGCTGATAAATCCGAAAGAAGTGCGCAAGCCTAGTACCGATGCAACGCCTTCGTTTCCATGTGCAGGCATGTAGTAGAACCATGATTGTCTGATGTTGTCTGTGCTTACCAGAATGATTTTTTTCTGGTGATGCAGCTTTTGTTATTGAAGCATACGATGCAATGGGGATCGCCAACAAGATCCAACTCACAAGCAACCAGCCACCACTTTCTGCAACTACTGTGACTCCGCGAGATTTGGTAGCGAGCAAGATCAATCTACAGAAGAAATCAGGGGAAGAGAAGCATCCCGCTTTCGGCCGCTTACTCCCTATCAGGCTTGAGTAGCTAGCTGCCTTAAGACAAAAGTAATAACTCACTGGTTGGTCCTTTCGTGTTGGACTCATCAAGGCAACTGTGGTGGCTGCTACTGCAGACAAGCCTGTCGGACTCCATTATTCAATGGGAAGACACTTGGAGTGGAAAGCTTGTCCATTCGCGTAGTCGCGGAAGGACGGAGGTACATAGGCCCACTCCTCGTTTTCCTTGGCAAGCAGCTTCTTGCAAAACGAGCATGGTGTCTGGTTAATCTTGTCGTAGTAACCAAGCCACGTGAAGAGATGGTAGAAACATGTCTCCGGGCGCTGCTTACGGAAATGGTCCAGTGCTTTACGGCCGTGCAGCGTAACAAGACGGAAAAGATTGTGCGATGATTCCGACCACGCGCCGAGTGGGGCATCCTCATTGTAAGGAAAGATGGACAGTCGCTGGGTGTACTTGGTCACCTGCAGACCAGCGGCTCGAGCCTGCTCCTGCTCTTTAATTGCCTCGCGCGCCTCAGTAATGCGCTGCTTAAGTTCCTCCATCTCCATCTTTGTGGCCTCCTCGGCAGCGAGCTTGGCCTTCGTGAGCATATCACCTTTTTTCTTCTTCACAAGCTGCTGTTGCTGTTTCTTGTGCTTATTGCGAGTGCTACGCAGGCGGCCACCGGCGAAGGCTGGGGAAGTTGGTGTAGACGGTGTCATGGGGCTAGCAGCCACTCCAGCCTCGCCGTTGGGTCCGCTCTCAGGAATGGGCGGGCAGAAGCTCAGATGCACTGTTACTTCCTTGTTTATCTCACATTTGATTGATTTGATAACTCGACGGCCGCCCCGTGTAGTCTCAGCGTGCTTGAAAAACTTGAGTTTACGGTTCTTGGCCATCATGTAGTCCATCATCTCGTTGAGTGTGGCTGGCTGCTTCTCTCCGAAGGGGTCGAACACCCTGCTGCGCTTGTGCGACTTAGGCACGAAGAGGCTGCTGGGGGTGGGAGGGCAGCGTACGTCACCCAGCATCTCGAGGCGAGGGAAGGCGCCGCTCAACTGCTCCAAATACACGGCCTGAGCCTTAGCGCCCATGTCCTGAACCTGGCTTTTCCAGTGGTACTCGAGCATGAGGTTGCGGTGAGTCTGGCTCACGCCCTCAATGGGCTTCGTCTTCCCATCTGCAGAGAATGAAAAACGTCAGCTTTTATGACACTCAGCAAGAAAAATAGCATGGGGAGTATGCTCACCGAACTCGGGCACGAGCTTGCGCAGCAGTTTGAGATTGGTTTGCACGCGCTCCAGTTTGTTCTTGATAGCTAGACGCAGCGCGTCGTCGGAGGCCTGTCCGGGCTCCATCTTGGCGTGTGCCTCACATAGCTCCAGGATGATGCTCTCAGCCGTGGAGCGCAACACGCCGACGCGCCCCAGAAGAATATCGGCCAGGTAGAAAGGGTCGCTCATTGTCGTGTTAGAAGGGAGCGCTTATGCAAACTAATTTCGAAACTTGGAAAAAAGCAAGAAAATGATTAGGCACAAAAAAAAAAAACTTATGGCCAATCAGAACGAGCTTTCCGCTTCAACTTTCGTCCACGCTCTGTGGCTCTTCGCTCTCATCCATTTCGACATCGACATCCTCTTCCTTATCACCTGTACCCTCGACATCATCGCCATCGTGGACATTGTAGGACGTTTCGCCGGTCTCCTCCTCATCATCGATGATTATCACATTGCCATCGTCAATGTCCGTCGATAGTAGTTTCTCTAGCAAACCAACGGGTGTCTTCTTAACCGAATGCTCCGTCTTGATGACAGTTCTACCAGGAGCCGATAATGGGGCGGGGCCAGCGGAGGTGACAGCATTGTCGGTCATCTCTTCTTTCATCTCCACGTCGGCAGTGCTGTTGTCATCCGACAATCGTCGCGCTGCCTCGTACGCCGAGATTGCCGCCACATGGGCCGCTACGGACTTGGCCAGCGAATTCGTCTCACGGCGCACGTCATAGCCACCCTCCAACACCGAGACTACACGACCGTCACACACCTCAGCTGCCAGTTTAAGGACCTCCAACGTGGCCCATGCATAGTCCTCTTCTATGTATCCGGCAGGCACGTTAGGGTTGTTTACAGCCGCTATACCACCGATGATGTCGTCGCGGTGGCCGTCAAAGCCTGCTGAGATGAAAATAATATCTGGCTGGAACGCTCGCATAGCCGGCAATACCTTCAACTCAAGCGCAGATCTGAATGCCTGCGAACCGCTACCAGCGCCCGTGTTCTCAAGCGCCACATTGACACGATTGCCTGTCTCGCAGGACTTTCCCGTTCCCGGAAAGTATTTTCCAGACGAGTACAGATGAATAGACGCAAAGAACGCATCGGGGTCGTCCATCAGCAGCTCCTCCGTGCCGTTTCCGTGGTGGATGTCCCAATCGAGCACTGCAACCTTGCGAATCCACGGGTACAACCGCGCGTGTGTCGCGCCGATAACCACATTATTCAGCAAGCAAAAACCCGACGACGGAGCGTTCTGCGTCCGACCATGACGCCCAACATGGTGTCCTGGCGGGCGGACTAAACAGACCGCGTTGTGATACTCCTTTCGCACAACCCGATCGACTGCAAGGCACACCGTTCCCGCAGCAGCACGAGCAACATCCCAAGATTTGCTGCTCACGAACGTGTCTAGCTCCACACCACTCTGCTCGAGACTAGCAGCGCCGAAGGCACCAACAAGCGGAGGGCGACCATTTTTACTTTGGCCACCACGCCTAGGTGTTTCGTCACGAATGCCAGAGTCAGACTCGAACACAAGAGCACGAGAAGATGGCGATGAAGCGGTGGGGGACGACGCAGACTGCGAACCAGCTTCGATTGATCGCTCCTTCAGCAGTCGCAAGTAAGTCGGGGAATGTACCATCAAGAGCGTTGTTTCCGGTGGGCACAGCTCTTCTGGTGACATCGAGAGACGCTCCAGCTTGAGTGTTTCTTGGTGTTTTTTTACCAGTGTGTTCAGTATGTTTACGACCCGCTACGAAATAAAGAAATGCAGAATTGGTAAAGCACATAAAATAAAATAAAAAGCACACAGCACTCACATCCATACGCTCGGGGCATTCGGGGTGGTCCTTCGGCGTATGGTGGTTGATGAACACAGGGTGATACGTCACCAACGTCGAAGGCTCAATCGGGGGCAAGACAGAAACCACTTCGTCCTGTGTCAAGTCGATCATTACACGTTTCAACTCGTCCATGACGCTGTATGGCGAATCGTGCTCTACACCCGCTTCATCTGTTCCAGATAAAGTATGCGACTTATTTAGCTCACTTTTGACAGCTGAAGACGTACTTGACAAGATCGAAGTTGTTATTGGAGTGAGGAACGTCGAGTTGAGCTCCTCCGGCCACTGGATACGCTGCCATTGAGCCAAACTGGAATCAACTGCTTCACGTAACTCCTGCTCACGCCGGAATTGTCCTGATGCCACCTTCTTCGGCTCACTTTTCACAATGAGCTCACTGCTGACCTGGGTGCTCTCGAATTTCGATAACGCAGCATCAGGCGTTTCCGCATCGGCCTTTTCATCGATCACACCCGCTTCCTTTCCAGTTGTGACACCTCCAGTCAATGTCGTCCCCTCCAGTAGCACCTCGGACTCTGCTGACTTTTCTTCGGATTGTTCTTCCGTTTCCGTAAACTCGACCATTTTTTGGTCATCCTCGTGGTCTTCTACCTTCCTCTCAGCATCACCAGAAGACTTTAGCTCAAATGGCTTCTGCTCCTCATCCACTTGAAGTGAGGTATGCAGCAGTGACCGCTGAATCGCCTGCACCATTTCGAGCGACGAGCTTCGCTCTTTCCACAGAGCTTCCATTTCGCTCATGTAAAAGCTGATATAGGCTTCCCTTAGCCCAGAGCTGTCACCTAAATCGTCAAGCTCATCCATTTCCTCGAGTGTGACAGCTCCACTACCGTCAAGCTCCACTTTATCACCGGACGAAACTGTCGGGATTCTGTTCCCTCCCTCCCCTGTTACCTTCGCTATATTTTCACGCTTAATGGTTACGCTGTTGTCGTCCATAACCAGATCCGATGTACCAACTGAACTGCCGTGTTCCACCTCGGTGGCGATATCGTTCCATGAAGATTGAGTCAAATTGAGCAGCGCACTGCGGTAGTACTCAAACTCTTGGGAAAAATCCACAAATCGAAGAGAGAGTTTCCGAAAACAGTTCAGTAGTGCTACTTCACATTTGTCTAGGAGGTCACCCAAAATTGGGTTAAACGAGTGCTCCATCAACTTCACCAACTGTGCATCCTGACTCACGCGCGCATGATTCTTGAGTGCCAGTGAGGTTTTCGAATCAAGATTGATCATGACTTCACGGTATACCACCGATATCTGATTCAATCGGTCTTGCTCGATCTTTATAATACCCTGTAGTGCGTGCTGGTGGTTTGTTTCCCGCTGAATTCGCTGACGCACATGGCTTTCTTCGACATGCAGCTGGCGCAAATGCTCCATCAATGGTGTTGTTCCGTCGGTAGCAGCAGAAGAGGAGCATACCTCTTCCTCTGAGATTTCCATTTTTGAAACCTCCTTTTCGGTTAGGAAGACGTCTTCGATGAATTCGCCCAATTGGATCCCGCTAGATAGCGGGAGTAATCGCCACACGCCGTCACTTGTCATGGGACTCTCCTTCGCTGTGGGCACTTGAATAGCCAAGCAGAACTGCCACTCAAAGTCGTCCTTGGGAACAGCAACTGTTATAAACAAAGACGCATCACCAGAATCTCCCATACTGACGTCATCATCCTTCTTTGCAGCATCAGATACGTCTTCGACACTACTCGTGGTGCTTTTAGAAGATGTAGAGCTAGTATCCTTTGCTTCATCACCACGTCTGTGTGACTCCGTCTTTTCTGTATCTGCATCTCCCGCAGCCTTGTGGTCAGAAGCTCCAGGTTCGATCTTGTCCTCCTCACCTTTGTTCAATTCAAGGGTATCCTCCGTCGATTCCTTCTCTTTCTCCGTTTCGGAGTCAGCTGCCACTATCGTATCTGTCTCCGCGAGCTCTTTATCACTAGTCATAATTTGCGAGACTGAAGATGCGACAACACGCTTATCGCCACTTTCTGCCAAGTCCGTGCTCTTCTCTACCACCGATATAGTAGACGGTTCACCGTTACCATCTTCAATTGCCGTACCAGTAGTTTTTTTTTCCTTCTTAATCGCTTCGCCCACAAACTCTTCGGGTTGCTTTTGCTCTAGTAAAGCGACTCCCATACTCACATCGACCAAAGATGCCTCGGCTGTAGTGGCAGCAGGCTCTTGTTTCATTTTTTTGTTCTCTTGTTCCTGCGATTCCTCATCCGACAAAAGATCTATAACCACAGGCTTCGGTGGGATCGATATCGGCACTTTCCGCTTCACGTATTTTGCTTTTTTCAGAGTGTCAGGTTGCTCCTTCGCTTGAGTTCTCATTGCTGTCGTGGTCGCAGAACTGTTAGTGCCACCAGGAACAGTTGTAGGACGAAGCGACGTCGCAGCCTTCAACTCACGCATATAATTTGCCAATTTCTGCTTTTCGTTACCACTTGACATCTGGAGGCGGGCACGATTGTCCACAACAGCTTGCAGTTTACTTTCAAAGCGTCCGTCATCTACAATGGTTGAATCGCTTCCGTCAACGTTGACTTTCAGATGGGCAAGATCGTTAATCGCACTGATCAACTTCAAGTGTCGAGAAGTGGACAATAAATCGAGAATAGGTGCACAGCGAGGCGGTGGCTGGAAAAGCGGGTCTACAGGCGCGTCGGTCGCGAAGATCTTTAGCTCCTCGATCATCAGTGCAATCGCTTCTTGAATTTCGTTTTTGCTCTGCCTCAGCTTTCGATCCCGTGTTGTAAATTCTCTTTTGATCTTAGGTCCAGAGCCGAAGATTTCGGTCTTCACCAATGGAGGCACGCTAATAACTTCTTTTTCTTTTTGTTTTTCCTCCCGTTTCTCCTCGCTCTTCATGGACTCGTGGTGAAAACCCCACTCCACTCTTTGAGAGGCTTCAACCATCTTTACTGATCGCTGAAGCTTTGACATCCAGGAGTTGAGCTTCATAATTGACAAGTTGTACTTGGCGTTCTGAGCGCTGCGACTGGCATAGCTCGACCCTCCAACCTGTCGCACCATCTTTTGCTTCTCCTCCTCCATCAGCTGTTTCAGATATTCGTTACGTTTCTCTGGGAAATTGAGGACGATTTCTTCGGGACGAGCGTCAGTAGAACCGATCGTTCCTCCAAAGTATTTCAATGCCGCCATGTCATACGCCATAGCCGCATCCTTGGAAGTGGAAAACGTGCCCAAATTGACAGCCTTACCGTTCACGTGAATCTGTGCATGGGCGTATACGCGGTGTACCTGGACGCCCAGATACTTTTTAGACAGCAAGTTAGGTGCCTGTTGCTTAGACGGACCTATCGACAATTCAGCGTAATCTATCTTGCGACGCTTGGCCTCTAGATGTGCAGGCGTTCCATGCGCATCAGGAAATTCCTGTGACCGCTTGCTCCGTCCGCGGCCTCGGCCTCGTCCACGACCTCTGCCTCGCCCGCGTCCAGAAGACGAGTAAATATCCACAGACGACGCGTGAGCAGGAGCGGACAGCGCAGTCGCTGCCGCAGCAGAGCTAGAGTTTTGTGGCCGCACACTGAAGGCTACTTCAGGGCGGATGAAGCTTTCGTGCAAGTGCGGAAAGTTAAGTTGTGCACTCTTGCCGTAGTGCATGAGCGCGGCCTTGTCGTAGGCATGAGCAGCCTCAATCTCGCTGCCGAAGGTTCCCAGTTGCAGGTACTTAGAGCCCTGCCATAGTTTGGCCACGAACGGCTTCTTGACGCCCTTCATCGACACTTTAGACACACCCCTATACTTAGACTCCTTCATAAGGATGGTCGGTTTGGCTGACGCAGAAGCAGTAGCAGACGCAGGAGCTGGGGAAGCAGCACGGGCGACCGAAGCTGAAGGAGGAACCACCGGTCGTCCATCGGGAGCGGCTGTGGATGGAGCGGTGGCGGTGGCGGCACCTTCCGCCTTGCGCTGCTTGGCCAGATTAGCGTCCGTGCACTTCTTGCAGTAAAAGTCTCCAGCCGGGATCTCAGTGAGGGGTGGCACAAGGCAGAACATGTGGTACTCGCCGTCGCAGCCGTCACAGAGCAGAATGCTGTCTCCGTTCTGGTCTAAGCCGCATACGACGCAACCATTGCTTTGAGCGTGTGGTCCTGCTGCCACCTACAACGGAACAAGGAAGCGAGAGGGAACTTAGCATGCAGCGATACAGATCCACCACTATGAATGACTACGCACGACTCCCGGTGCCTTATCTCGCTTGGCGCGGTCACCGCGGCTTCCAGCAAACATGGTGTCAAAAGCGTGGAAATGAGGGGGGGGAATGAGTCGCCATACCGAAGTCAAGTGAATATTGCTGGACTGTAATTGGTGGGAAAATGTCAATTGCCTGCTGCTTTAATTTTTAATAAATTAAATTTCTTAAAGTTTCGTATTAGACCTCACAGGTATTTCATTTAGATGGTGGACAAACTATAACAGGTTTGCCCACCATTCAAATGAAATACCTGTGAGGTCTAATACAGTACTGCACCTCGTTTTCGCGCCCTTGGACCCTTTGATAAACTTCCGGATGTGATAGATCCTGAATCCAAATGAACTATTGCTTGTATGCGAGAGTCTGATTTATTTGGAAATCCTATATGGTCCACCCCCGCAAAAACGGGGTGCAGTACTGTACTTGCTTTGGCCTTCCCGCCTCCGCTACGCTTTGGCGGGATTACTATTTAAAAAACCGCTGAACCCATGCGTACCTAAATCGATTTATTAATTTTATTTATTTGGGTCAGCATCATGCTTACCTGATTTTAAAAAATAATTTTTCTAATGATCTTGAATCGAGATTCTTGATCCGATCTCTTTTTTTATTGCTGGCTATCACTGTATCTTCATCTTCCACCCAAAACCACCAGCACTTCAAATAGCATTTATACAAACGCTACACAATACGTTTAGTTTAGCGTCGTGCTCGATATCACGGGCCGTTCCTGAGCCACTATGAAACTTAGCTCACCCAGTAGTAATGAATTGTCCAGCTTGCACTACTTACCCACTTAAACCGCCTATTTCAGTTTGTAAGTAACTAAATATTGATCACTTCTCATATCAAACTCAATGAAAGCTAAAAAAAAATTCAAATTGTACTATGTGTAATGTATGTAGCGCTCATTTTGTGCTGAATCAAAATTAGCACTCGAATCTGTGCCAGTTATGATTGAAACATTTGAATATTGTGTCGCAAGACGTTGCTGCTGTTGCTGTTGACGGTAGTGTTTTCTTTTTGATATGTAACGATGATTCCAGGATTATTGGACGTCATTTAGGCTCCAAGTTTATTAACGTTTCTATATGGGGTCTACTTAACCAGCTATAATTCCCACCTCTCGTGTTTTGTTGTTGTCTTGCCGCTCCATTTAATATCGTATTCTAAGCCCCTGTCGACGACACGTCCGCCAGTTAAGTAGTATCGATTGTTTTTTGCTGTCTTAACAACTATTAGAAAACAATGGTTTACAGCAGTAACACATATGAGTTCATTTTATTCGATCTAAAACTACTATCGTTATGGATCAAGTGACAGCGTTTATTAGCAGCGGCCAGCTTCTGTTGCTCAGTCAGTTACCTCACTCTCAGATAATTTATTAATGTTTCTACAACAAAATTATTAAAGTCATTGTAACTTGCAGAAACTATTAAGTACAGAGTATTGCGTATAATCCTCGAAACACGCATTCCTACGTGTACGCTAAAGCACCTTGCAGCTTATAATAGGAAGTTGCTATTTCTTTTGAGAATAAGTAGCTCTGTCTGTTTAACACTCAAATATTAAAAGCAACACGCATTATTAGAATAGTAAATACATCGTAATATAAAAACGATGCCGCCTTCGGATCTTGGATAGTCTTGTGCAAATCTCCATATGTGCTCTGTGAACCACATGAATTTACTGAGGTAAGCTACATGATTCAGTTTTAACCAATCAAAGCCGCCTTCGCTCCGCTCGGCAGCCAATGGGAAGGCTAAAAAATCTGAGCGTTTCGTGTGACGGACGGACGGACACCGTGCTAGCATTGATAGTTTAGGACTTGCGCTCTGGGCGCCCGCTCCGCGGACGCTAGGGCACGGCTGGTTGGTGTAGAGAGGGCGGCCCACCTCCGCTGCACTGCGGTGGGCTTTGCTTGTTTACTCAAAGCAAATCTACATATAATGTATATTCCGTGCTCTACTTATGTTCTGATTCAAAACAACAATATCCTGAGTGCTCACATATTATGGTAGACATGACCAGGGTTTAACGTGATCTGCAAGTTGAACACCATCTTACCCGGGAGGTTTTGTCTATAATCTCATTTGAGCGCATAGCTCCCAAAATGTCACAAATCGGAGGCGCGCGTGGTTGCAAATGTAATATATGCTGTGCAGAAGACGGATCAGTATCAATGACGATCCCAAATTGGCATAGATATGTGAGGAATCCCAGTGTAGCTGGAGTAAATACGCCTACTCAAACATATTACCATCCGCATGTCATCGCCGTGAGGCAGTCGACACCATAGAGCAAGGTTTGGTCATCACCTCGCACGAAGTATCTTTTAGGACAGGTAGTTTCTGTCGATGGTCACCACACACACCAATAGTATGCCTTGAAACCGTTCCGCTGAGCTCTTAATGATATTACTGAAGGGTATTTTCACTATCTTTCGCATGCATTGATCATACTTGCATAGCTGACGCACTTACTGACGTATGTGCATAGATACTGACCGACAGAGTGGCGTAGATCCTTTCCGAGTGGCATTTACTAGTTCCCATATGTATTACGAACATACGAAGCCACATAACTGTAGGTATATTATCATATCGTAGTGGTGTTTAGACGTGAATCGAATAGTAGTTCATGTAAATTAGGTGACGTACTTTCACTGCCAGCTTATCAGCTCGGCGTGCAATTTGATGTGTCCGTGCATAGCCGGCAATCTATTTAATGGGTGTGTGTCGCGTGGCCTTGATAACCACCTTGATATCCAACACCCATGCATTGGGTCACTGCTGTTCTCGGTACTTTTGCATCGTGTTGCTAGCTTACTGTGCCTACGCTTCGGATGGATCAGTCTGTATGGCCAAGCGCGTCGCTAACACGGGCATAGGTCACAACCGCGGTGATACAGGCAAGCTGACCGCGCGTTTGTAGGTAGTAGACAGCGCCATATTTACGCGCGCGGCGGGAATACCTTAGCACCGTGTGAAAATCCGCGACTCAACCGAGATCTTATCTCGACCATTATGGGCAGGGCACTAAAGTACAGCGCTGCGTTTAGCCACATCGACTTGCGACGGCCACCTGTCTGGTAATCACTACCGCAGACGTGGTTGTGTCTATGTAGGCAGCAACTTGTTCGTCACGCATAGTGCTCACCAAATACTGTAGTTTACATTCGTGAGCGCACATTAGTGAATTATACGCTGTGAGCGTTGACGGTACAGCTAGCATGTGTTTGCGTGTGCCAAATGTACTTTTTATCTACGGTCACGCGTATGCAGATAGGGACGCAAGGGTACACAATAGATATCATGCGCTAATTAGTAAATGAAACGTGCTATGCTCTGTAGGTGTGCCAACACTACTGACTGCGCCATAGGCAGCTTACCGTATGTGCGGCTCCAAACCTCGCACTGTAGTCCGGTATACTAAATACAAAAATAGGTAGGAAAATGGGGTATATCTACCAATTACTTGCTCTTCTGCTGCTTCTTTTGCTCGATGTACTTGGCGTTTCGGGCGGTCAGCTTGCGAGGGCGGCGGCGCCTCTTTTTCTTCTTGGGGTACCATTCAGGACCCATCGCCTTCTTGACATTTGACAGATTTTCCTGGCGACGCACCTCGGCCAAATCAGGTGGTGAGGACTTTTCCTCCCAGAACTCAACCGCTTTTGGGACGTTCGGATACGCTGTCGATTCAGCAGAAGCAGGTCAATATTGGCCTTGCACGTGGGTCGATAAACTGTGAGTAAGCTAGCAAATTATATTGGTTTAACCAATTACGTGCGTCAAAATATTAGCCAATAGCACGGTAATATAAGGCTGATATTATTATTAAACAAAATAGTAAACTGCTTTATTATTTAGTATTTTGCTATCTCTTTAATAGTACTATTTTGATATTTACAAACAAATGCATACTTAGCATGCAACAAAAGTGACTAAAAAGACCGCCTAACGCAAATGTCGTAAGGCCTTCTTTAATTAGAAATGTAATAATAATGATAATAAAAACGTCTCTACTTTGATAAAGTGTGTGGAAAATAACATCGCAGAGCTCTTAGAAAAAAAAGTCTCGCGATTGGACGTAAGGTAAACATTTCTGCCGAGAACGAAACGGACTGATTGGATGCAAACACCAAAGCGATAAGTGTTGACGATTAAATATTTACATTTAGGTACGCAAAACCTGTCGTATCTATTGCAAATCGGGCACAGCAACCGGCGAGAGACGGTCTGATCGTGCAACAGATCCAGTCAGTGTCGCAGGTCGGCAGGTATTGCCCAATCAGGGCGCGAGGTAATTGTGTCCGCTTTTTGGTCATAATTGTAATTTAGGCATACTTAAGTCAAGTCAGAAAGATAGGCACGGTCGATAAGATGGGACGTAAATGCATTCGACAGGCCAATTGTAGCCATGCGAAAAGGCATGAAAAAGCAGCAAGAAAGGAAACGGACGGACTTGTTGACAGACGGACGGACAGACAGGTTACTCGGTAAGGAAGCGGGAAATAGTTTAGGATAGTTGTCGGGCAAAGGTTTAAGACGACTCGGTGGATTTGATCCAGTTATTTTGGGCAAGTATACTACATTCTTCTATACAAATCCGTCAGTTACACGTTTAATATGGTCCACGTCGACGAGGTTCCGTGCGCTTATGGACCTCTTCACCTTCAGTTGGTCGGCGGCCGACGGCCACGGAGCCAGCGAGTGTGAGCGTCAGCTCACTTGGCAAAGTGAGCTCGGCCATTGCTCTCAACAAGTCGCCGAAGGTCTAGCTCAGCACTCCAACCCCGATGACCATGCTCTAGATAACGACGACCACGCTGAGCCTCCTTCCGATCAGTGCCCGAGACCACCAGTCCTGTTCGAAATTAAGGGCGCTCACAATCCTCACTGGTACAAATTCGTCCGGTTAGTGCCGCATAGTGACTTTGAAGGGCTGGACAAGGCGGAACTGGTCAACGCGCAGGCTAAGGCGGCGTACTGCACAATATGCAGCTCGCTTGTTGATTTCCGTATTGGCAGAAGCC